GGCTAATAGGTTGGAGAATTAATTATTATCTCCTATTCTTTTTAAATGTCATTTTGTCATTATCAACTATTAACAAAATAAATATCGTTTTGGATATTTTCTACATATTTTTCCATTATTATCTTCATCTAGCTAATTAATACTACGTCTTTTTATATTCACTCTTCATTTTTTTTCTCAAAACATTCATCTATATCCTCGTTAATGAGGGTTATTATTGACAAAAAAAATATATTTAATAACTGTGCAACTTTTCAAAACGATACTTATTATGAATAGGAGAGAGTATATTTTTTTGAGTAATGCTATAATATTATACATATGGATGTACATAACACTCACATTTAGTGGAACCTACCAAATAAAAAATCAAGTAGACCCATGGAGTGTTATGTATACCTTTATGTAGCACTGTCAAAACGGGCCATGGCCCGCGGGCTGGCTGGTGTCTGTCCGCCTAAATGGACGGGTTTGGGTCTTTGCTTGGCTAGCCCGTTCAATCGCGGGCCTATTTGGCCCGCCCCCTTCAGCCCACGGTCTAAAGATTCAGCCCACGGTCTAAAGTGGGCTGGGGCGGGATGGACCGCGGTTTTTTTATTATTTATTTATTTGTTAATTTTATATTATTTAAATTTAGTATTTCTTATTTTACTTTTAACTTGCGCCGTTCAAGTTTCAAATCTCTTCACTTTCATTCTACTACGTCTACGTGACCCTAGCCCTCACTCGTCTCTTTCACGAAGGGCTCCTCGGCCGCGGTTTGTTAATTAGTAATAATTATTGATGGACTTATTTATTTTATTGGATTTTGCCTTTATCGTCTTTTTTTTTTTCTTCTTCTTCTTCTTCTTCCATATTTATTTATTTTATATTTTCTAAAATTTGACAATGATATTAAGATTTGTGGGCGGGCCACGGGCCATGGATTTCCCAGCCCGTAGAAATGCGGGCCATTTTGGCCCGCCCCGTTTGAACTGCGGGCCGAACCGGACCGGCCCATTTGACACTGCTACTTCTATGTACAATTATTATGTACTTGTAGTTTTTTTCTATTTTTTAGTTCT